CGGCGAAGCGCCCGCACACGGAGAGCCGGTTTACCTGGACTTCTCGCAGGTCTGCAGACTTGGTGCTCAGAACCACCGATGGGGAGGCAGAGCTAACCAGGTGCTTCAGGATGTCCTTGAGGCTCTCAGAGACTGCCTCTGACCCAGCTACTAGGTCCTGTCAAAAGAGGAGGTTGTCACCAGATCGTCTCCGAACTGGGCAGAGAGCAGAGGGCAGGCCAACGCATGGCTCTCCTGATGCCCTCGAAGTGAAACAAACTCCATGTGGCCGGGGCTCTGGAGTGAGTGGAAACACTCACTCGTTCACATCTTTACTGACCTCAGAGGTCACTCATGCTCCTTACCCCCAAAAGTGGTTAAAAATGAGACATGCGCAACATAGAAATATGTCAGCATTTCCGTGTATGTTATTTCAGTCTCTTTCCCCAAATACATACACGTGTGTTTTTTCTGTCTGGACTGACATCTGATTTTTTTTTTTTTAATTAAAAAGTATTCAAGGGACTTCCCTGGCAGTCCAGCAGTTAGGATTCTGTGCTTCCACTGCAGAGGATATGGGTTCAATCCCTGGTTGGGGAACTAGGATCCCACATGCTGTACAAGCCCTGATCTCCCTGCTTCTGAGAAATAAACTTTTGTATTTAAAAAAAATTTTTTTTTTAATCCAAAAAGTTGAAAAGCCCAAGAATGAAAAGAAGTTTGTAGAAGAACAAAGCAGGATGACACGCACCACCAGATGTCAAGCTCTATAAGATTACAATAATTAATACCCAAAAGAAATGTGTCTATATGTTCTAGAACGTTCCCACAAACTAAAAATGGAACTACCAGAGACCAGACCCCTGCCCCCTGCATTGGAAGTTCGGAGTCTTAACCACTGGACCGCTGGGGATGTCCCTGGAAGAATTTTTAAATACACATATTTCGGCTGTGGTGATAGCTTTGTAATAGAATAAGAGTCTGAAATAGAGTGAAATTTCAAGAAAATATCACAAAAGCCACCGCAAAGGAATAGCGTGACAAGCTCAGTCTTCGGTGTCCATGATTTTGCATGATCTTTCCAGCAACTAAGAGTGACAGCACTTATAAAACTTAGCAGCCTGCCCCACACCCCCAGTCCCGCTTCCAAAGTCACTTCCTCAAACACCCAAGGCCAAGGGAGCAGGGGGATGACCTTCAGATTTGAGAGGCAGCTTTGAAAGAGCTGCGAGAGAAGGGAGGTGGTGGCCTTGGGAGCCAGGTCTTGGACCCAGCCCGAGACGGAGGTGAGTGAAGTGCCCTCACCGGGAAGGAGAGCAACTGAGGCGCAGGTGTAACAGAAGGTCAAGGAAAACCTAGATGCTGCCACCGCAGTGGCTCTCAGCCTCCACTGCACAAGAGGGGTTTTAAAAGCTTTCTGGCCCAATCAAACCCGCCTGGGGAGGCGGGGCAGTCTTTGCGAATTTTTAAAAGCCGCTAGGTGATTGCAGGTGCAGGCCAGGTGAGAGCCTGGCATTAAATCCATGGAAGCTAGCCACCCCCACCCCACCACGCTGTGCTGGCTCTGCCCTGCCTGCCCATCCCCCAGGATCACACACCAGACCCCACCGATCAGAGGCTCCATCTCCCAGAGCTGGTAGTCACAACGTGCCCACATTCGCATATTCATGCTGGGGGAAATCACAAAACCTCACAAACTGACCTCCCCGAGGACTTTGGGCTGGACTGTGATGGCCATCTCTGGGGCGCTGATGAAGGACCACTTGATCTGAATGTCCTCCCTCTTCTCCTTCATGTGGAGCTCCAGCTGTTTAAAAAAAAATAAAATATTATTGGAGGATTGCTCTCTCCACTGGAGCCTCGATGTATGTCTCTGTGTTCATTTCTTTTCTTAGACAGTGGTTTGTCCCCTGCCTTGGCATGCTGTGTGCTTTCAAAATGGCAAGGAGGGTCCCCAGTCCCTGACTGCCCCTCCCCTGTTGTGTAGCCTACCCCATCCCCACCAGTACCTTCCTCTGCCTTAACCAACCACTCAGAAAGGAACATCAGGGTCGGGGATGAACACCAGATGTCATGAAAACCCTGCAAATCCTCTGCTTTGCAGCTTTCTTCTGCAAGCATCACCAAGACATACTGGAGCCAGAGGGACAGAGAAGGGAGCCGGGACGCCTTGTCTGTTCCCACACACTCACACGGCCCCCTCCCCTCACCCTGCCCATGATTGTATACATGGGTGCATCAGCACTCTTAGCCTCTCTTGCCTGGGCCACTGCACACCTCCACATGGACTCCAATCTCTCCCAGGGCCCCATCCAGCCCTGCCCGTAAGTCATGGCAGAACCATGTACTGCCCCCTGCCACCCCCCACAAAGACAAGCATGCTCCTCGGAACCTGGGAATAGATTTCCTCACATGGCAAAAGGGACTCTGCACGTGTGATCAGGGTAAGGACACTGAGGTGCAGAGACAATCCTGCATGATTCCAGTGAGCCCACAGAGGTATAGGAGCCCTTAAAGATGGAAGGGGAAGACAGAAGAACATGCGGAGAGAGGAGACTTGAAGACAGAGGAGGATGCCAGAAGCCCAAGGGTAAGGTTGCCTCCAGAAGCTGGGACCTGTCCTCAGCTGACAGCCAGCCAGAAATTGGACCCTCAGTCCAACAACCATAAGGAGCTGAATTCTGCCAACAACGGGTGAGCAAGGAAACAGATCCCCTCCAGTGCTCCCAGAAAGGAAGGCAGCCCACCAGCACCAGGATTTTAGCCCATGTTGGACATCACACCTCCAGATTGGTGATGTGATAAATGTGTGCCATTTTCAGCTAAGATGTGGTGATTTGCTTCAGCAGCCACAGCAAGCTAAGCTACCATCCCTCCTTCTTCAGCAGGAGACTCCTTCTAAAGCCAAAGTCTTGACCCTTCCCATCTCTATGCTTCCTCCCACCAACCAGGGAAAGGGAAGGAAAGGATGGCTATAGAATTGTTTTCTCAATACTGGGTCCTCCCACTCATGCTAGCAACCAGGTAAGACAAAGGATGCTCCTGTTGCCCTGTAATTCTGGGCGACTCTAGCAAAAGCATGCTTTAATTTCATTGCCACAGTCCCTGAGTTGTTCCACCAGGTTGGGGAGAGGGGGTAGCTGCTGGTGTCTATGCAGTTTTTATCTGAAGAACAAGAGGAGGGAATGCCTCCTGCCATGAACATTAATAATTCACCAACCTCTAGCAGCTGCTTCTGCTTTGAGAGGTAACCCACCTTTAAACTGTGTCAAGAGATCAAAGACACAATTGAATTATCTGTGTCTGAGCTGTGTAAAATGGCACATCAACAGCATCTTGGAAAACATGTTTCTTGGGTGAATGTTTGTGGTCCTTGCTGAACTCACCCCATCCTGAACACACCCCAGACTTTAACATTATCTTCTAACCACACTGTCCAAAAAACTAGGGGAAGCAGGAGGGCTTTAACATCTGACAAGTCCATAAGCTCAACTTAACTTCCCTGACTCTTGAAAACGGATAGGGGTGGGGGATGGATTTCAGAAAAAAAGCCATTTAGGTAGCTGGAAATTTTTGTTTGTCCTGGTTGTTTAAGACCATGTCTTTTAAGAAAACCCAATGGAATAATCTCTTCTTGTGGTTGAGACTCTTGAAAGATTTGGGTTCACCCCCCACATTAGCAGCCAAGTACAAGTTGAATTGGCAGTTACCCCTAAACAGACCCAGAAATTCACAATTTCTACATGTCAGCTAAACAAGAGCATTGGTGAACTTCTGCTCTGCATGTGATATACATAGTTTTCTGATGGGTTAGTCACCCAGAAGCTTCACTAAGTCTGTTATAATTATTATCTCTATTTATAATTGTTCAATGTATAAAACTATATCAGTTATAAAAGTTACATACTATGTGCCTATTACAATCATTATAACAATGTCTATTATCCAAAAATAATGGTGATACTCATTTTCTAACATAATAATAATGAGCCTTTTAAAGTTGTTTTTTTTCAAACACTAAAAGGAAGATGCTAAGTCCAGACCTTGAGCTGTTTTTCCAAGTTGCAGGGGACTTTCGAAGGCCAGCACCTGATTCCAAATTATTAACAGAACCACCTTCCTCATCTCAGATGCCATCATCCTCAATCCAACAGTCAACAACATCTGGGACATGTGCCTTGAAAACTACCATATCTCTCACATTTGTTAGATGGAAACTCTGAATTCATTATATATATGTATACATATGTGTGTATATATGGTGGTTTTGGCGGTCTAGTCACTAAGCCGTGTCCGACTCTTAGAACCCCATGGACTGTGGCCCGCCAGGCTCCTCTGTCCATGGGGATTCTCCAGGCAAAAATACTGAAGTGGGTTGCCATTTCCTTTTCCAGATGTGTGTATATATATATGTGTGTGTGTGTGTATGTGTGTTTGTGTGTGTGTGTATGCCTGTGTATACACCTAAGTGTATATATACCTATGTGTATATATATGTGTGTGCATATACCTGTGTGTGTATCCATGTGTGTATATGTGTGTATATATACCTATGTGTGTATATACATGTGTGTATTTATTTATTTATTTGCAGTGGGTAGCCTTTCCCCTTCTCCAGGGGAACTTCCCCACCCAGGGATCACACTCAGATCCCCTGCATTGCAGGTGGATTCTTAACCAGCTGAGCCATAAGGGAAGGCCAAGAATACTGGAGTGGGTAGCCTATCCCTTCTCCAGTGGGTCTTCGTGACCCAGGAATCGAACCAGGGTCTCCTGCATTGCAGGCAGATTCTTTACCAACTGACCTATCAGGGAAACCCATGTGTTTTTATACATAAACCTATGACATGCACACTTTTGTATTTTCCACAAAGACAATATAACATGAAGGTCTGAAACTAATGAAATGAGCAGTAATTAATAAAAACAGGAGCATTCACATCTGTGACAGCGCCCCACTCACCCTACAGATTTACGAAGCGGTTTTCCTAGGACAGACTGTCTCCCAATTTTACCTGCAGATGGAGCGGAGAGAGCCGCACGCCATACAGCGAGCGCCCCGTGTCCTCAGACGAGGGTGGCCCCGCGCTGACCAGGAACTGGATTGTCTCGCCCAGCACTCGACAAAACACCACCTGGAGGAGGGAGCAGAGAACACGCGAACTTCACGCCAGAGAGAGGAGAGCGTGCGCCTTGCCCATCTTCATTTCACTGAACAAAACAGCCTGGACTCTCTAGATCAGCAAGCATGAGAACTCAGTCTCAAATGTGGGTGAATATCTAGATGCATATTTTCTATTACCCCAGAGCTTAAAAACTAGAAACAATACTTCAAATCTTTTCTTTCTGATGTATTCTCAGCACTTGCCCAAATCTAGTTAGAATCTTTCCACACAATTTTTTTTTCCTTTAAATATTTCTTTTTTCTATTTCTTCATGCAGCTGATTTTTAAATTTCCTGGGCAATTTATTCATATGGTGTGAAAGCCATTAGCCATCATCTCTCACTAAAAAAATGAGCCTTAAAAAGAAAATTAGTTCTGGATGTTTCCAGGTAAAGATTCTTTTAAAGTACCTAGAACACAAGAAATCGTTTCTATTTAAATATATTGTAACCTATTGTGGTTTACAAAGATGTGGGGATAATTGAAAGAACTGTGAAATATTGAACGGTTACAAAATGATATAGTCTTAACAAAAATAGAGTTATTAAAATAAGCTCATTTAAAAACCTATGAGACAAAGCAATTACATCAGGAACAAACCAGACCATATTCCTGACATAAATCACAAAGCATTTTAGAGAGAGGGCCGTGAATGCTGTCACTGCACAGGGAAGCATTCAGTCCCTGCCAGCGAATCCCTTACAGGAGCAGACCTTCCAGAATGAGGGACTGGCCACGCTCCTGGCAGGACGCCAAGCGAGCCCAGGGCGGGTCGACTATGAGGCCAGGTGTGCCTGGCAGAGGGGTGGTGGGGAGGATGAGGGGTGTCTGGCAGGGGGCCAGTGTGTCTGGCCAAAGTCAAGGCATCAGAGGCTGAGAGGAAGGCAAGATGGACCCCCACATTCCCAAGGGAACAGCTGACCCCCACACTGGATGGTGTCACTTGGGAAGGAAGGAAAAATTCTTTAACTCTCTGGTGGATTTAGAACCTAAAATACCAAGTAGAAAGATTAACAAAACAGTTATTTTGTCAGGGTAACTGCTATTTCACAAAGTTCAGGCTGAAAACATGTCTCCCTCCCCACTCCTGATCCCTGGCTCCCTGGCCCCCTCACAGGCATAGCCCCACTCGGGGCCCACCTGCCCCTCCAAAAATGACCTGACCTGTACTACACAGAGAGCCCCCAGAAAGGGTCCCTTTCCAGGGCCCACTATAAAAGCTTTTGGCAGCATAGCATTAGAAAAAGAGAACCTTGCCTTTTCTAAATACTGGCAGAAAATTGCACAACCCTTATTTTCATCCGTTGTTGTAAAGGCCCTCTCTGAGGACTGACTTATGCGGATTAGTTACATATCTTCATCATGTTATTGCATCTCCAGAGTTCATCAAAGGTTGGAACAAAAAAATGTTTGTATAAGAAATGTCGCCTATTCGCATTAAAAATACATGCTCTGTAAACAGTCCTTGGAGGAGGAATGTATTTTGATACCGGATGAGTTACACACACACAAGTGACATGATAGACAGAAAATTCTGTCCTTTGTCTCAAGAGCTGAGGTCATTTTACTCCTTAAAGTAAAACAAAACAAAACAGTCAGTGATTGGTTGACTTCTGTTATTTCTATGGAACTTTCTATATGAAGCTAATTAGAACGTCACTGGGAACCTTGACAGATTCATTAGTGCCCTGACTCAAGGAAGAGTTTGGCTTCTGTTTGTATTCAGTTCTACAAAAAGCTGGACCCCTCTGCGGATCCAGTGGTTAAGAATCCATGGGGGCAGGCTAGATGGGAGGTGAGTTTGGGGGAGAATGGGAGAGTTTGGGTGAGTTTGGCTGAGTCCCTTCGCCGTTCACTTGAAACTATAACAATATTGTTTGTTAACTGACTATACACCAACACAAAGTTAAAAGTAGCTATAAGAAAAGAATAGAATCTGCTTGCCAATGCAAGGGACACGGGTTCCACCCTTGGTCAGGGAAGATTCCAGATGCCTCAGGGCAACTAAACTCGTGTGCCTCAGCCACAGAGCCCCTGCTCTTCAACAAGAGGAGCCACTGCTATGAGAGGCTGCAAACCACAGCTGGAGAAAGCCTGCCTGCAGTACTGCAGTCAAAAATAAATCCATTAATTAACTTTTAAAAAGAATGAAAAAAAAATTTTTTTTAAAAGTTACCCCTCTGCTTCCTTTCTGATACACGGACAGCTGAAGCACCTGGTTAAAAGCAATTAAACCAACACTCCAGCATAGATTTTAAGACTTTAAAACTTCTAGAATGCAAGCCTCAAAGGTCACGATTACCATTCACGTCACATCTGGAAACTAGGTGCAATCATTAAAAAACAGGACGCCTTTTGCAGAGATCCCTGGAAGGTCTTCCTGGCCCTGTACCAATGCCCTCAGTAACACCTGTCATATGGACCAACCGTTTCTTGGCCTCTCTTCAGTGTTCAGCTGAAAAACCTAATTAAAACAACTATCTGATCATATTCAAGATGGGCAAACAAAATGCCCCCCACCATTCTTACGGATCCAGTTGGGAGGGATAATGACCAGGGCTAGCCTCCGCTCCTCCACCCTGAGAGTAAAAGTCCCATTTGTCAAATGGACCAGAACAAAATGGAAAGGAGATTTTAAATATAAGTAATCTTCTTTCAGGGCATTATGGTGTTTTATACACAATGGGGATTAAATGATCTCAACCCAGGCAAATGGTGGCCAGGCTGTCCCTGTAACCAAGGGGTCCCCTCTTGGAATGGCAGAAAGCAGGATCACCCGATGTAAGGTCAAGCAGACCCTTCCAACCAGGGCCAGAGTGACCAGGGTTGATGTCTATTTAAATACGGACGAATAGGTAGAGATCCTGATCTTGACCCTATAGTCTCCCAACCCCAAACACAGACCTGTTCATGAGGCTTCCTTCTGAAGTTTATACATTAGGTCCTCAGAGCATCCCAATTACACTGAGCTGTTTAATATGGCTTGGGCTTCCCAGGTGCATATGTGCGAGGCCACTTTACTCATGTCCGATTCTCTGTTGTTTAGTTGCTCAGTTGTGTCCAACTCTTTTGTGACCCTATGGACTACAACCTGCCAGGCTCCTCTGTCCATGGGATTCTCCAGGCAAGAATACTGGAGTGGGTTGCCATGCCTTCCTCCAATCTTCCCTACCCAGGGACTGAACCCAACTGGCTCAGTGGTAAAGAATCTGCCTGCCAATGCAGGAGATGCATGAAACACAGGTTTGATCCCTGGGACCATAAAGAAGGCCGGAGGATGAAGAACTGATGCTTTCAAATTGTGGTACTGGAGAAGACTCTTGAGAGTCCCTTGGACTGCATGGAGATCAAATCAGTCAATCTTAAAGGAAATCAAGCCTGAATATTCATTGGGAGGACTGATGCTAAAGCTGAAGCTCCAATACTTTGGCCTGATGTGAAGAGCCAACCCATTGATTGGAAAAGACCTTGATGCTGGGAAATATTGAAGGTAAAAGGAGGAGAGGGCAGGAGAGGATGAGATGGTTGGACAGCATCATTGACTCAATGGATATGAGGCTCCCAGCAAACTCTGGGAGATGGTGAAGGACAGAGAAGCCTGACATACTGCAGTCCATGGGGTCTCAAAGAGTCAGACACGACTGAGGGACTGAACAACAATTGCCCCAGCTCCTCCTTCTCTGAGAACATTCTAGAGAACTGGAAATAATTTCATTACTTTTGTCTTCAAAAAAGCTAGGAACACAGCTTATAAAAAGGACCTAAAAGGTTTATGTCACTGAATAGCTTTCACTTTAATCAGACTACATGACATCATGGAGAAAGAAATTCAAAATAAAACAGAAGAAATGACCTTTCACTAATCGTTCAGAATTCTCGGTCAGGTTTCTGCCCCAACTCTGCACCCAGTCTTGGTCATATAAATATTCTTTAAGATGGCACGCGTGTGTGTGTGTGCGCTCAGTCAATAAGTTGTGTCTGACTCCTTTGTGAGCCTATGGACTGCAGGATGGGATTCTTCAGGCAAGAATACTGGAGTGGGTTGCCATGCCCTCCTCCAGGGGCTCTTCCCAACCCAGGGGTCGAACGATCATCTCCTGTGTCTCCTGCACCGCAAGCAGATTCTTTACCACTGAGCCACTGAGATGGCATGAGTCCGATATAAAATATTACTTCTACTCTGGAACAGAAACTCATTTTAAAAAGTAAAGTGTCATTGGCTTAAAATTCTCAAAACATCTATAAAGCTAACCCTATTGCCTGCTTGTTCACAACACATGGCTGAAGATATATTTTCATCTGCTATCTCCCAGTGGGCTAGGGGCTTCCCCTTGATCCCTGGGACCATAAAGAAGGCCGGAGGATGAAGAACTGATGCTTTCAAATTGTGGTACTGGAGAAGACTCTTGAGAGTCCCTTGGACTGCATGGAGATCAAATCAGTCAATCTTAAAGGAAATCAAGCCTGAATATTCATTGGGAGGACTGATGCTAAAGCTGAAGCTCCAATACTTTGGCCTGATGTGAAGAGCCAACCCATTGATTGGAAAAGACCTTGATGCTGGGAAATATTGAAGGTAAAAGGAGGAGAGGGCAGGAGAGGATGAGATGGTTGGACAGCATCATTGACTCAGTGGATATGAGGCTCCCAGCAAACTCTGGGAGATGGTGAAGGACAGAGAAGCCTGACATACTGCAGTCCATGGGGTCTCAAAGAGTCAGACACGACTGAGGGACTGAACAACAATTGCCCCAGCTCCTCCTTCTCTGAGAACATTCTAGAGAACTGGAAATAATTTCATTACTTTTGTCTTCAAAAAAGCTAGGAACACAGCTTATAAAAAGGACCTAAAAGGTTTATGTCACTGAATAGCTTTCACTTTAATCAGACTACATGACATCATGGAGAAAGAAATTCAAAATAAAACAGAAGAAATGACCTTTCACTAATCGTTCAGAATTCTCGGTCAGGTTTCTGCCCCAACTCTGCACCCAGTCTTGGTCATATAAATATTCTTTAAGATGGCACGCGTGTGTGTGTGTGCGCTCAGTCAATAAGTTGTGTCTGACTCCTTTGTGAGCCTATGGACTGCAGGATGGGATTCTTCAGGCAAGAATACTGGAGTGGGTTGCCATGCCCTCCTCCAGGGGCTCTTCCCAACCCAGGGGTCGAACGATCATCTCCTGTGTCTCCTGCACCGCAAGCAGATTCTTTACCACTGAGCCACTGAGATGGCATGAGTCTGATATAAAATATTACTTCTA